ACCACAAATATACACACATGCACAAAATATACATATGTATACATCTGTACTTCTTATTTGTTTGTTTAAACAGTATTACTATGTAGCTATGGCTTGCCTAGAACTCACAGCAATCCTCCTGCCTCTGCCTCCTGAGAGCCATAATTATTGGCATGTACCACCATGCTCATCAAAGTTATTTCATATTACCACTTCAAAACTGAATCATAATACAAATAATAGCAACACTTCCATAGGTAGCCACATGCTATGCGATACCAGAAATACATTATCTTCCCAAAGACCACGCTTTCTCAAGTGGAAAAACTGTAACTCAACTCTGACAGGTTGAGTTGACTTCAGGGTGCTTGACCTTGAAGGGCAGGCGGAACTAGGAGTCTGTACAAGGTACAAACTTGGAGCATAAGAGGAGGTAAGTGACCTTTCTTGGTGGGAGTGGCATTGGATTGGGGATAGGCTGGGGTGCTAAAGGCCTCACGAGAGGTGACATTGGAGCGCAGTTTTAAAAATTGATTGGGAGTTTGGCATGGTGATTAGGAGGCTGAGGTAGAAAGATTGCCAAGAGTTTTAGGCCAGCCTCAGTTGGATGAGACCCAGTTTAAAAACCCTTTCCCCCAAAAGAAACACGGCTGACTATTTATCAGACAGGATGATAAAGCAAAGTAGAAGGGGGAAAACGGAGACTCGAAAGAACTGGTCATACCAGGCCATTTGTATGGCTTTTGGAATTAAGCAGGTGGCAAATCAACAATATAAGCCAGAAGGCAGGCAACTAGGTCAAAGAGGCTTACTTGCCTTTCCACAAAATGTGAGCCACTTTTAAATAGCCCCAGGAAATCTGCCACGTGGTCTGAAGCCCTTCAGTCCAGATTTCCTTGAAATCTTATTTTCTCCTAATAAATCTGACTGCCTGCCTGGGCCTGTTAGTACAGGTTGGTAATCCCAGTTGCTTGGGAGGTTGAGGCAGGAGGATCCCAAATTCAAGGCCAGCCTGGGCTACAGTGAGTTCAAGGCCAGCCTAGGTAACTTAGTGAAACCCTGTACCAAAATGAAAGTAAAAAGAGAACTGGGAATACAGAAAGTAAAAAGAGAAGTGATACAGAACACTTGCCTATTATGCAAAAGGGCCTAGGCTCAATTCCTAGTCTCTCTCTCTCTCTCTCTCTCTCTCTCTCTCTCTCTCTCTCTCACACACACACACACACACACACACACACACACACACGGGTTAGGCGTTGAGGAGATAAACTGACAGAGCTTGGTATTGGACATAGGGGAGGTAGCTGGGAACACGTGAGAGAAATAGTTTAGGGTGCTCTCTTGTCCCTAGCTTAGATAATACCCAAGGAAACTAGAAGAAAAACAAGCATGGAGAAGGAAGGATGACTGGATTTGGACACCTGGAACCTGTGGTAACTGTGGGTCAAAGGGACCAGGGATATCAAAACAGCAACCTACGATTCAGCAGAGATCTGAGCTAAAAATGACACTTGTCTGAGTTGTGCACAAAAGGATGGTGATCATTTGGAAGGTAGGTAGCCTAAGAAGGGGTTAAGGGCAAGTTGAGAAGAGCAGCAATCAAGAAAGCAGAAGTTCAGCAGTCCTGAAGCTGCAGAGGAGGACTATCCAGTGAGGTGGGAGAACAAGAGGCTGAGATCGAAGCCAGTGCAGGGAAAGGGACTTAAAGGAAATGGTCGGCGTTGCCAAGTGCTATGGAGAGGTTAAGTAACATAAGAACAGAATCAGAGAACGTTTTCTTCTATGGAAGACTCTTAAAACATCATTAACCAGGCCGTGAAAACAAGAGAACTCCAGAGAAATTAGCATAAAGAATAAAAGACTACACACTAGGGAGGTAGGGTGAGAGCGAGGGAGGCAGTGGAAAGGGAAGCCACTCAGGGCACTCTGTATTTGGTTCAGGAGGCGAAGTTACTATCATATGGCAGAGGTAGCTGGGAACGTGTAAGAAAAATAGTTCACGGTGCTCCCATATTCCTGGCTTATGTTATTTCCAGGAAAATTGGGAAACAGGCATGAGGGGAGGGATGACTGAGTTTAGACATTCAGAACCTGTGTTAACTATAGGCCAAGTAGGTAAGGGTTATCAAAGTTACACCAAGTATAATCTGGACTGAAAAAAAAAATCTTTCCATGTATTTATCTTGTCCAGAGGAGCCAGATCTTTAAGAGTGGGAAGTTAACTTCGAATCCACAGCCACCTCACCACCTTTTTTGTTTTTGTTTGTTTTGAGACAGGGTCTCACTATGTAGCCCTGGCTATTCTAGAACTCATTAAGTAGACCAGGCTAGACTCAAAGTCAGAGATCCGCCTGCATCTGCCTCCCAAATGCTGAGATTAAAGGCGTGCGCCACCACACCCGGCTACCTCACCGCCTCTTTGAGTCATCTTCATGAGAAAGGCACGAAAGCTAAAGAAGAGTGCCGGGGACATAGGCTAGAGCAGCAGGTCTTAACCTATGGGTCAAGACCCCTTTGGAGGTCGAATAATCCCACTGGAAAACAGATGTTTACATGATTCTTAACAGTAGCAAAATTAGTTATGAAGTAGCAACGAAAATAACTTTATGGTTAGAAGGTCATCATAACATGAGGGACTGTATTAAAGGGTCACAGTGTTAGGAAGGTTAAGAACCACTGCTTTAGAGGAAGGCTCATGACAGAGAATGCTAGAAGGAGCTGTTAGGGGTTTGAGGAATTTAGAAAATCTGCCCTATTCATGTGATACAGCTATACAGTAAGTAAAATAAAACAAAAAAGAAAGCACACACAAGTGGCCTTTGGAGTCAACATCAACTGCCAGGCTAGAAAGATCACTGGGGTCATTCGGGTGAGGTAAGGGGGGTGCAAGGGACTCAACAACCTTGGTCTCTGCCATGCTTGGGAAGTGTGCAAGTAGTAGCTCACATTCTGAGGACATGTGGCTCTTAACAAAAGACCACATTAGAGGAACCCAGGCTCTGCTTCAGTGACATATGAGAGTCAGGCACAGGACAGACAGAGCCTGCTAAAGAAAGAAGTTTGTCCTGTGGACTAGAGTACATGTTGATGTCCAAGTGACACGATAGAGCACCATGGCCTGTCAGAAAAGTCACTTCCTGTCCCTATCATTTTCCAAGTGCTAGCCCCTGCGCACTCCCGACTTTGAGGAAGCAATCACACCAAACCTCTACAAGTTGGCGCTTACCACTCAGGGCAGACCAGAAAAGGGGGCACAACTGGTCACACCACTGGTCAGCGACAAGCCACAAAAGGCTCTGCTGCCACCCCAATCTGGAACACACAGGAAAAATGTCCAACTCTTAGTTCCACTGGACATCGATCAGGAGCTGAGCAGGGTGGGCGTTTGGAAGGCTTCAGCCTCCGTCCTGCCTAGTGCTGGGATCAGCGCACACGGCTCCTGTGTCCACAAGACACAGAGAATACATTGTCCATAAGGAGGATTATTCTGTACAAGAAAATCAGACAAAGGGAGAGGTTGTTTCCAGCTGCTTGGGGGAGGTAGTGGAGGGGGTGGAAAAGGGCTCGGCCTCACATTGGGGGCATTCCTGCCGAGTTTAGCTTCTTCCTTTCAGCAGCAGGCTAAGAGGTGGTTCATCCTCTCTAGCCTGTACCTAGTGCTGGCCCTCTACAAAGCTACAGGGAACATTTGGCTACAACCTACCTATCTTAGCTATTGTTCCCAAAAAGCAGTTGAGTGTGGTGAGTCAGCTAAGTAGGACAGCAATTCTACAATGGAAGAAGAGAAAGAATAGGTGACCAGGGCATTCAGCAATGGCTGAATCCCAGCCTCAGGGCAGAACTAGAGAGAAAGGTCTTAGGTAACCTTGTCGGGCTTGGCTTGACGTGGATTCCAAAGCTTCCACCTTCAGTGGGATGAACTGCTGTGGGAAGACGTGAAGTTTCACACCTGCTGCTGCTTTCTCCATCCCAGAGCAAACCTGGGAGACAATGGAGCAGACCTCTGGCCAAGGGCCCCAAGAGCAGCAGAAGGCACGATCCCCAAGTGGAAAATGATGGTCAGAAACAGGAATGCTAGAGTAGTGCAAGTCATCTACAAACCCAAATCTGGGCAAGAAAACAGTGTTGTCTTTTCCATAAGCAACTCCGTATACATTCCTCCTGAGAGATCAAATAGTAGGGGTTCCAGACATTCTTTCCATTGTGGGGTGAACTGGTATATGAGCCCCAAAGTGGGAGAGGAGCAGATTTGCATGCTGAGATGTCTGGGGCTCTGGAGGGAGGAGGCGGTGGAAATGACAGTATGTGCTACCAGAGCAACTAAGAGAGGTGTGGGTGCCTCCACCACCAAAGTGTTTGCTTAAGGGCATGAGATGTAGGTGAGGCCCTGAATGCTCCTCTTGCAGCAGGAAGATATTCCTGTTCTTGGAGGACAAGGAAGCCATTACAATAGTATGGGAGGAATGAAGTCAGTTTAGCTGGGACAACAAAGACTCTCAGGGTTGGTTACAGGAGGAGCAAAGGACAGCAGTCACTGGAAGATACTCTGACAGGCTGGAAAAGGCCAGCTAGAGTTCTATTCAATATCCCAGTTAGCTTTGACATTTAGTGGGAAGAGAAAAGATGAGAAGATAAACAACACCTGGATGGGCTAATGGCCCGGCCAATTTAAGTGGGAGAAAGGTTTGGCATTGCCTCAGAGCAGATGACAGGACTCCCCTGGTACAGTGAGCTGTGGTCAATTAGCTTTGTCAACACCACTCATGTTTCCATAGACCAGCAACAGAGGACCACTTTTCCAGGCCTTTGCTGCCACAGCCTGGTAGAATGCTGTTTAACAAAGACCAAAGACCAGCATCAGTGTGTGGCAGGGGAGAACACCAACAGTGCAGCTGGAAGAAACTCTTTGGATTTTAAAATAAAAGAAAAATTAAAGATAAGGGGGAATACTTTAAGGAGAATTAGAATTACCTGGTAGATCATTCATAAATTTCAATCAGACAACCCTGAGTCAGTGAACATCAATTTAAATAACTTTATTGAACAAAGAAACCCTTTGGCCCACTTTTGCTGACTCAATCCCTGCCCTTGCCCACGAAAGAATGCTGAAAAAGGCAACATGGCTGCCTGTCCCTTTGGACAGTTCTTCAACTCTCCAAAAGCAGGCAAGGTGGATGGGGCTATGCCCTTCCCACTTTCAATCTGGATTTTATCTGAGCCACACATTTAGTGCCATGGAAGAGGACAGAAACAGGGAGTACTGACTGTGAGGCCAAAGCAACCCTGACAACGACAGTGTGAAGTACAATTTGTCTCAAAAGAGGAAGATGGTATTTCATCTGTGCTATTGCCTGACAGGGCCACTTCCTAAGAAATCTCCCACCTACTGGTCCCTAGACATCTTCATAGGCAGGGTAGGGTAAAAGATGGGTACTTTCCCCTATTTTCCAGGTAAAAGCTGAACTAGTATCACTAGTGTCCCAGCCCAGAAACCTCTTCACCTGCAGCCGGGATGGAGCCAACAGGATGGAACCTGGGCAAGAGAGGATACAGAAAAAAATATACCTCCAAGACATGCAGGCTGCCATGGTCTTTGGATTACTTGATCCTGTCTCCATTAGCGCACTACTGTCATGGAGCTGTATCAACTACAGTGTGTTCTGGGTAAAGGACAGTAAATAGCTGGGTGGAAAAGTAAAAAATAACTATCATTTATTCAAGACCCAGTATTTCACATACCATGCTAAGTGTTTTACATTCATTTTCTCATTTTAATCCTCACAACAACCTTATGAGGTAGGTAATATGACCATTTACAAATGAGAAGCTGGGCTCAGAGAAATCAGGTCACTTTCCCAAGGTCACACAGCTCTTCACAGAGGAGCTGAGATTTCTCTGTTGCTGAAAGCCTGTGTTCTTTTCATTGTACCCATCTACGTAAGCCTTGAGTAAAAGATAATTTCATTGCCCAACTCGGCACAGATCACCTGAGAGTGGAGGCTGCTGTCCACACTCACCGCTGGTAGGGATGCATTGAAGCCGACTTGATGTTGGTTTTTATCCCACTTGGCATTTTCCCTAAAAGTAACACAAAGAAAGGTAAACTTTCACAATAAATCAATCAGAAATGCAGCTTCTCAGAATGCTGTCATCTCTTCTGTGACTTCTGACTCTGGATGGCAGAGATTACAGGTTGTGGCTCTTCAGCCAGTTCCCTCACTGAAGGTATCAGGAGGAAAGGGGTGATCTGAAAGGAGATGAGGATCTGAACAGTCCCGTGCCCGCTCCCATCCCCAGTCTTCTGCTCATCCACCATCTACTTCTGGAAAAGACAGGCATGTGGCCTATGTGGTCCCTGTTTAATGTTACAAATAGAAAACCATGTTCTCCGCTATTCTAGTTGTCCTTCTCCCTAGACAGCCTGCAGACACTTCTGCAGCTGTTCCTGTGACCCCTCCAGACTGCTCTCACAGAAGTAAGTATGAGCATGAGAGATGGCAGAAAACCAAGACTAAGGGACAGGGTCAAGAGAAGAATCCATGCAGACCCAGACCCAGAAAACTGCCAGCTTGTTGATGATTTTCTAAGACAGGGTTTCTCTGTAGCTTTGGAGCCTGTCCTAGAACTAGCTCTGTAGACCAGGTTGGCCTCAAACTCACAGACATCCTCCTGCCCTGCCTCTGCCTCCTGAGTGCTGGGATTAAAGGCACGCATCACCACCACCTGGCAATGAATCTTGATTATCTACCAAATGGTCTTGATCAAGGTCTGGTCACTTATTTCTCTACCTAAGAGATACACACTAACATCTAGAATAAATAGGACAATTGAGACAAAAGTCTGAAATGGAAGTAAAAGGCAGCACCAGTTTTTGCTATTCAAGTCCATTTCTTCACTCTCTGGTACCTGTTGCAAAGCTTCCAAATGTCTTCTAAGTAGCAATGCAAAGGAGGAAGATCTCCAGGTCCGGGGTTAAAGAAGGCTTACTCTAGCTCATTCCCATACTCCTGGATAGTTAGCCCATGTCACCCTACCTGGTTGACCTGCTTGAGCCATCTGGACACCACTGAGCATTGTCTGCTGCTGGTTTGAAGCACCTGCCATTTGAACTTGCTGTAATCCTGAGGCTCCTGCAAGGATTGGACCAGCTCCTGGCTGGCCGGGTTGGCCAGGACCACTGCTACCTGAAGGTCTCCAATTAGATAGCCCCTTCCCAAAGGCAACAGCTGCCACTAAGGCATTGGTGTCTGCAGGGTTGAAAGTCTGCTTGTTTGGCCGAAGACCTGAAGAAAAAGTCAAGAACCATGAAGTGTGTGTGTGTGTTCAACTCTGGACTAAACCCAGCAGCTGGAGGGCCGTGATGACCACCAGTTCTGATTGCAGAGACAACTAGAATTCCTCCAACTCCAAAGAGCTCAAAGTCCCCCAAACCTAACTTTAATTTTCACTTTGTCCATTTCTTCCATTTGCTTTAAGGCTAGTCTCAGACACAAAACACTAACAGGATACAGACACTTTCCTTGCCAGTTTATTCTTCTTTTTTAAAATCACATTTATTTATTTTGTGTGTGGTGGTTACAGGACAACTTGTTGGTTCTTCCCTCCACCATATTGGTCCCAGGGATCAAATTTAGGTCAGGCCTGGCAACAGGTGCCTTTGCCTACTCAGCCATCTTGCCAGGCCCAGCAGTCTATTCTTCTATCCTTACTTCACCACTAGGCAGATTACTATTACTACTCTAGTGATCTTGTACAGCTCCTCCTCTGTTCTGTCAACCATCCCTCCTTACCTCCACTCTCTGATTCTCGTTCCTCTTTGCTGATTTTCTCTAAAAGGTTTGAGCACATTTTATTCAAGCTCTGGATCTGCTTCTGTAACACACATGAATTGATATAGATTAGTAATGATTCTGGGGAAGCATCTCCCTTGTGCTCTTCCAGAGGCAGCCTAGCTGTATGTAACCAACCACATACCCCTATTACACAGGATTGGTAAAGCCTTGCTTCTTATGAAGGAATGGGGATGGGGCAGCAGGGCAGTGACTCAGTCTAACCTGCGCTGCATCAGCACCAATTCTGGCAGCATCTGTTGTCAGCTGCTTCTCCTGCTCTTCAACTTCAGGGTCAGGCTTGGTTCTCAAATGGTCAGGGACGACCTCATGGCTGAAAACAGGCACTCGTCCTTCAGTCTGACGCTGTAACACAGATTGTATTAATCCTATTTGCTATCCAAGTAAGTTGACTCTAACCCAGTTTCCCTTCCACAAGAAACGGCATTTTCAGAGACAACACAACCTGAGGCACAAATGTAGCTTTCTATGGCACTGTCTTTCCACACACACTCTATCAGAACTCGGGCAAATTAAATTCCACACTGTAATTGTCTTTTTGTTGTTTGTTTTGGTCTTTTGTGATTCCCCACCCTGACCCCCATTCTGGGACCAAAACCAGGACTTTGTTCTACCACTGAGCTAAATTCCCAACCCCATATTTTAAAGACTGATTGGACAAAATCACAGGCAGGCAGAACAGCCTTTTTTTTTTTTTTTTTTTGCCTGATATAGATGTTGGAAAAGAAAGGCCATGGACTTGGTGACATGGGCCTTGGTTTTCACAGCATTGTTTAAGAGTGACTACCACCTCCAGAAGAATAAAAAAGCAAGTCTTCCAGATGGCAGCCCTTACTTTCCATTGCTATACGGAGGATCCAATAAACAACTGTGCTCTAGACTTTCATTTAACTTGATTTCCCAAGTTTAATCCTTTCTTCTTACCATGAGGTCTTCATCTCGATCTGGGGACAGCACCAGAGGGATGATGACCTGGTTACGAAACAGGGGTGTCTTCTCATGCTTTAAGACCTTGTTCAGAGTGTTCAACTGTCCAGAGAGCAGTGCAAAGCTATCCAGGACAGAGGGCCTGGGGGTGGCAAGAAGTCATCAGAACTACTTTTCCCTATAAAGTAATCTCTAAAAGTTCCCAATGCGGGAACACCCAGACTAACCCCTAGAAGACTCACAGCCCTAGGACTGGCCTAGGCAAGAACCAGACTTGCTAGCAGATGGAGTTAGGAAAGAGGAACACACTTTCAATTTCTGACATAGAGGTTGAAAAAAGTAACTTGTTTGAATGGGATTGGGAGTGGTGGCAAACAGAAACTGGTTATACTGTGGTGAAAATTCTTAAAGTGGATAAAAGCCTCCTTTGTAGCTTCCTAACAGAATCCACCTTTGCAGAGTAGGATAGATCTCAGATTCAGTCACATCGGTGGAAGGAGATACAGCATGCTATTATGGTCCTCCACTGGGGGAAATACCTCCTCACCAAAGAAGTCAAAGCATAAGAATTAAAACCTAGAAATAACCTGAGTTGGGAAACTGGGCATTTCTCTACTTCCTGGCTATGGAGGCCTTAAACCAAACTATACTTGTCAATGTTGGGCAACCTAGTTCTTTCCAAATCAAAAAGGATATTTGCAAACTGATAAATAGTTACATCACTGGAGATGTCCTGTCAGCCAGGGGGCTTGGCCCCACCACCCATGGCTCCCTCCCCAGCTTGTCCTGGCAGTCCTTACCAGGTGAGCCGGTCATACTCGTTTTCCAGCTTGTAAATGAAGCTCCCCAGTGAATTCTTCAGATCGGCCACTTGATTCAGCAGTGCATCTAATGATGCCTCAAGCTGCTTCTCCTCCCTCTGCATCAGTAGGACATTTGGTTACTCAGATACCAGTGAGTGTGACACACACAGAGAGGCTAAATTGTTTTCTATCTTGGTATTTGGGTTACAGTATCAACCCTCAGACCTTTCAACCTGTTCACCTGGCCTGAAGTCCTCCTGCCAACTGGTCCCTTCTACTATCCACCTACACTATGGTCCTTCAATAAGAACACTGCACCAGGCCCAATTCCCTTCCGCTTATGACCTCATTTTTTTTTTGTTTTATTTTGTTTTTGTCTTCAAAACAAAATTGGCTTAGCACTGTATCCCTTACCCTTTATCATTTCCATTCTCATCTCCCAGCTCTGAGGTTTGCCGCTCTTAAAAGCCAATCTTCTCTTGGATCTGCAGTAGGACATGCTCAAGCCCAAGCCCAATCTTCTTTCTAAGCCTAGCCTTTTTCTGGAAAATAGACATAGTCTGCCTACCATGCTCCTGCTTGCTGTCATTAACGCTGCTTTCCTGGGGCATATGGAAAATCCTTGTATTGCATCACTTTGTGGGGTTGGTATTGCCACATTTCTTTCTTTCTTTTCTCTCTCTCTCTCTTTTTTTTTTTTCGAGACAGGGTTTCTCTGTAGCTTATGAGGCTGTCCTGGAACTAGCTCTTGTAGACCAGGCTGGCCTCGAACTCACAGAGATCCACCTACCTCTGCCTCCCGAGTGCTGAGATTAAAGGCGTGCACCACCACTGCCCGGCTTGCCACATTTCTTTCAGAAAGTTCAGTACATTTTAGAAAGGTTAGGCATGATAGCAGGGGTGCTATCGGTACTTAATGTCAGAAGGAATTCCTGAAGTTCATTATCTCAAGGGTGCCTCTGTAGCACAGGTACATACACCATTATTCTCTGCCTTGGGAACACAGCTACTGTCAATACCACAATCTGGAGAATCTCACATTTTGCCTGCATGTGTGAGGCTTTCTCTGAATACCAGCTCTGCAGTCCTCTCCCCAATGGGTCGTCTATCCTTAGCATTTGCTGAGTCAATGTGTATTCATGAATCGCTGTGCCAGTATTCCAGTGTCTCTTTCGTAAACTCGCGTGACCCATAAACCCGCACTGTAGGACTACCAGGTGCAACGAACTAAATGAGTAATCAATGACAAAGGTGAAGTAACCAACACATTGTTTCTGAACGTTAGACAATTTTAAATGCTGAGTCGGCAGAGGGTTCCGTTTGACCATCTGTAGTCTATTTACTCCATTTCTCCACGCTTAGCAAATGGGTCCAAGACGGGAAGAATGATACAAAGCTGGTTTGCAAACCCGACAATGTGACTGATGGGGTTAGATCCACCCACAGTCTCGGATTACAAACAGCTTAATTTTCGTCCTTGGCGGCCCACAATCTCTTTAGCCCTTCTGAAGCCTTGTTACGCCAGGGTCGAGGCCAGGTGCCAGTCCACTACTTTCTAGACCCTTTCACACAGTCAAGCAAGTCGGCCTTGCCTCCCCTAAGTCTCTGACCCTCTCGCGTTAGCGGGCTCAATCCCCGCAGCTGTCCTCGTCCCTTCCTGCTTCGCCGTCTTTCCCTAAACAGCCGAGGCCTCTGCCCCCTCCTCACATCTCCAACTTCCCAGAGTCAGTCTGTCCACCCTCCCGACCTGTGGCTAGGGGCCGGGAGGCCCAGCCCGCTTCTCACCTGCATTGCCACGGCGGGACAGGCGCAACCACTTCCTCTTCCGGTTTCTCGCGCTGCCGGCTGTGCCCACCAATCAGAAAACTCAAAACGCGGCCCGCCCAACGGCTTCCGGTTCCTGCCCGGTTCCCGAGCTAGCTGGGTCAGAGGTCAGGAGTGGAGCAGCCTCCCTGGCCCGGGCCGGCGCGGGAGGGCAGTGTGATGGCCTCGGAGCGCCCGGAGCCAGAGGTGAGGGGCGGGCGGGCGCGGGGCCGAGGCCCGAGGGCAGGCGTGTAGCAGCCTCCACCCTCCGGAGCCTCGAGGAGGCCGTAGCTGTTTTGTTTACTCAAATGTCATCGTGGTCCGCGTCTCCCATCCACAGACCTAGAGATAATGGTGCTGACAAAACTCGTGTTTGGGTTAATAGTTGCGGTTTTCATTGGGTCACACCGAAGCTGACCGACTTTGCGGATTTTTGCATCTCATCAGCTGGAATGTAATCAATAGCATTAGTTGATTACTCTTTAGCGTCCATGCTTTTGGAAAAGCCCTGCAACCATCGTAGCAGGCTTAACTTCCCAGATCCTGTTTCCTTCTTTATAAAAATCTTTGTTCTGTGATGTGGCTTGGGGAGAACAAGTTAAGTCACATGAGGCGCCCCTTAGATGCGAAGAACTCGTGTAAGGAATCTGGCATTTTTTTTCTCTTATAGAGAGCAGAAAACCGAAAATCAGAGCAGGCAAGGTGCCTTATCATGCTGAGATACCTTAGGATTACTCATTCTAGCCGAATTAGAGGATCTGAGAAGGAAACAAAAATCTTAGATTTGACTAGAATGTCCAGAACGACAGCAGAATATTTAGGAGGGAAGGGTGATGGATGTGTCTAATGATGCAAATAGTAATGGTTGCTTGTATGATTCTCACTACGTGTCAGCCACCATTCTGAGCACCTTACTGTTACCAGCTCTTTCCACCCTATAAGGTAAACACCATTATCACCCCCCTTTCAGAAAACTGGGGTACAGCTATTAAAAGGAGCACAGTTGCACAGCTAGTATTAGGGCTAGAACTCCCAAATAGATGGTCTAACTCTAGACCTACCAGTTGTCCTCTGACCTACATGTGTGCACTATGACATGTGTGCTTTTCTGTGTGTACACAGAGTACGTATATATGTATACATATGTAGGAGTACACGCACGTGTATGGCTGTGTGAATGTGATGAAGAAGCTACACATGTGAAAAAAAAAATGAGCAGTATAGAAACAGAATGCCAAGAAGCAAAGCGGTGTTTGGAGTTGTTAGGTTCCCAAGAGAGAAAGAGGAGTGCTGCTCTGGACCCAAAGTTGTGCTGCGTGTTAGGTGGATGCAGAGTGTAAGACTGATACCCTTCTAAGCTTTGAGGAATAAGTGAACATTGGATTGCAGTGGGTGTGTCCGAGGAGCAAATGAGGATGTTTCAGGTTTAATGGCACATTTGACCTCCCTCTGTAAGCAGTTAGGTGGAACTCAGGAGGTTTAAGTTCTCTAAGTATCTAGTACAGGTACAACCCTTATGAAATAATCACTCATGTTATCCCTGTTCACAAACGAAGAAACTGACAGAGCCAGCATTTGGTCCAATGCTCTTAACACTCTGCTACCTGCTTTTACTGTAGTGGTGGGTAAGGGGGCTGAGACTGGGGAGAGAGAAGTTCACGTTGAGATCGTGCTAGAAGTTCAGGTTTATAATGGTGAAAGGCTTCAGCTAGGAGGGAAGGATCTACATTATGTTGTAGGAAGATAGCACATGTTTTAAAAAGAGGTTAGAGAATAATTTGGCCCCTTATCTCAAAGATACAAGAACAAAACCCAGGAAAAAGGAAGCACAGACCTGCAGCACTTTATTCAGGTTGGCGTAAATGGTATGTAGGGTTCAATGAATATTCTTAACAATGATAGCCTCCCTCTGCCATTGTACTTACCCCCCCTGTTCGCAGTATCCCTACAAAGATATCCTTATCTTATCTAGCTATTAAAGAGATTGAAGCCTGGAAAAAAATTTCAGTAACCTGCAAGGTCACATGCATAACATATAATAGAACACATTAGAATCTGGGGCTCTGACGCCAAACGCCTGCTTTGTCTTGTTTATCAGGCTATTTCAAAAGTTGTGCACATCAGACTCCGGGGAGGTTAACATTGAGGTCTTGAAGCTCTGTATGAATGTGAATGCTATGAAACATAACTAATTAAAGCAATTCTCAAACAGTGATATGAAAAAAATGCCCAGGGGAACAACTTAAAATGTGGATTCTTGATCTTCTTCAGCTCTTCATTCAGTTGGTCTCTGGTGGTACTCACGAATCAAGTGTGCATTTTAATAAATAGCTCAGGTGATTCTGATGCAGCTGGTGCTTGAAGCCCACTCTGAAAAACATTCCAGCTGCTTAAATTAAGCTAGCCTTCTGGTTATGATAAAGTATATATTGAATGTATGACACCTTAGAAGGTTTTGGGAATGTTTGAATCAAAGAATCACAGATAACAGGGGAATTTGCCCAGAAAGCTAGGCAGGCATTCCTGGTTTCGAGATGGATTCTGTAAGAACTGACAGGTGAACCAGGCTACAGTTAAGCCTTGGAGACATCAGTCATTCAGAACAGCATTGAGAGCAAGAGAAAGGTTAAGAATTGTAAAGCCGAGTGCTCCAATGTGTGTTCAGTAATGCAGTGACTGGTCACTGCCCTCCATCCGGAGCATCTCATGTAGTGAGCTCTAATGGACCTTCACCGTCCCATCCTCCTAGGATCCTATACAGGATCAGGCTGCTTTGTTTCTTGCTGTCATAAAACCACATTTCTTTATCCATTAACAGGCTTACTCAGTTTTTAATGATATAATAACTAAGGTGATTATTCAGTTTTTGTGAATGATAGGTAAGTCATTCTGCTGGGAGTACAGGTTTGGGGTGGTTGTGAAAAAACCAGGGGTGGGGGGATCAGAAAGGCTGCTGACCAAGAAATCAAGCTTCTTAAAATTTACCACTCTGACAAAATGATCGGTTTCTTCCTGTGAGAGTACCGCTGCCATAGTGTATGTGTGGATGGAGAATGAGATGTCCAGAGTCATCTTTGGCAGGGGTTTGTATAGTAGAAAAATGAGGATGCTGTTGGACTGGCCACCTCTGTGATAGGCGTGTGAGTGGAGAATGTGACCCACAGAACCTTGACATGAGTGAGCTATCACCTAGGAGGCTTCATTCGCTCAGGAATTTTAAACTATTCAATGAAGGCTTCTTCAATGTCTGCTGTGGATAAGACTGAGGCAGTTACTGGCGAGTGTTCATGTAGCAGATTGGATACTTACTGGGTCTCATGTAAATCAGTTTGCCAAGCCCAGGAGTGTACAAGCAGAAGAAAGCACCTCTCCTGCCTTTAGGAGCTTATGGTTTATAAGAGAAACTCATGTAAACGTGTGTGAAAACACACCATAGAAGGTAAGTTCCCTTCATCAATGTGGTGGTCTGTGTTGGGAGCACCTTTCATGACAGCAGGGATAGCCGTCAGCTCTGCTGCCTCTCCTCTTGCTGTGTAGGCTCCTTGGACAAGCTGCTTGCATGGGATGTGTCTATACTGGCCACTCAGTGTCCTCTTTTCTTTTCCTTTATCTCATTAGGTAGAAGAAGCTGGGCAGGTGTTTCTGTTAATGAAAAAAGATTATCGAATCTCCCGAAATGTTCGCCTGGCTTGGTTCCTTAATCATCTGCATCAAACTGTTCAGGCCACACCCCAAGAGTTCCTGGTATGTCCTAGTGACTGACAGGTGGGAGGTGAGGGCATGGCCCAGAAGATATTCTCTCTCTCTCTCTCTCTCTCTCTCTCTCTCTCTCTCTCTCTCTCTCTCTCT